TGGGTTGAATTCATCTTCTACGATTAGCTTCCATGGAAAAATTACTCTCCTCGACCTTATTTGTGGCGGTGCTGCCTTACTTGGTCAGATCCATGGCGGTTCAGTCTTGCTTGACTTGTGGTAGCTGTGGATCTTACTAGAAACGATATGGTTGTAGGCGGTCTTTGCCTAGGTATCCTAATCCCTGTTATCGAGATAGTCAATCGATGGATTCTTCTCGGATTAGTGTAGTTTTGATTAGTGTCGATTTGTTGTTTACGCTACTTTAATGCGTGTTGTCTCACCTAGCTAATGATGTGGTCTTGCCAATCAACGATGACTTGACGTGGTCTCGCTTGCTAGTAATGACATTGTGTGTGCCTTAGTGTAAGTCTGTTGCGTGTATCGTTTTTGTGGCAGATTTGTACTGGCGGTGCCTATGGTAGCAATGTAAGGATTAACTCATTACGTTTGTTTGTGCAAATTATCTCTAAATCAATGTGTTATTTACATGAAAAATATACTCACGTGGCTCCCATTTTAATCGTTCTTATTGATGAATGAAATATCGCTTATCACGTCTTGTCAAAACGACACATAATTAAGATCCCAAAGGCAAAGAGCCTTTGCGATGTAATTATAGTTTAAAAAGGCTTTTCGATGAACTTAACCAAGTTAACATGTCTCACTAAATTTTGATGCCTGTGGCTGCCTACATTGTAGAGGTAGGCCGGGCCCAGGAGACTTCCCTGTTGGATTAGAACTGGTTCAAGGTGTCAAGAGGTTGGGATCTGTTTGTTGGTCCAAGTGATAGGCGGGGTACTTTGTTTAGGTCCGTTTTGTAAAAGCACTTATGTTCCCTAGTACTTTAAGAAAAAACACTTTTGCTAGAAGCACAGTAGAAATTTTTAAACTAAAAATTAAAATGTTTCCAGCAAATGCATTTAGAAGCACCCCTCCCCTGAAAAAAAATAAAAAAATAAATAAAAAATCTCTACATGTTCTTGCATAAGTCATACATAATTTTATTTTTTTCTCAAGCGTTTCGGAAAATGCTTTTGACATGAAGGAATATAAAGCAGCACTTAATATGGGTCGAGTTTTCAATGTTGTGGAATATACAGTGTCATAAGTGCTTTAGTCGTTAGAATTGATCTACAAATGTTTATATTTTTTGTTTTCAATCTCAATCATTCATTTTTTGTACCACTTAATGTTACGTTACATTAAAAAAAAAAAACTTAATATGTTACGTAATCAAATAAGCATGTTAACAACTAAAAAAAAAAAAACACAAATGAAAGGTCTGAAAATTGGTGACTTAGGTGTCTAGTGATCTGTTTAAACAAATTTTTAGGTAACCTATGGCTAATTCATATTTAAAAAAAAAATTACAAATAGCAAAAGCAGTACTTAAATTCTTCTTTTAACCTTGTGTTAAGTATACAGAAAAAATTGTATTTAATTGTTATTGTGCCATCTATTATTTTTTAGACAGTTATGACACTATAAACTCATTTGTAAGTGCTTTCAAATGACTGGAAGTGTTTTGGTGAAAATATTTTTTGAACCAATCCTTGTAAGTAAAAACGCAAGTAAGTCATGAAAAAACACTTGAAGTCTTTTTAGACACAAAATATTTTTTCTAAGGTGTAGTCAAATTAGGATTTGGCGGGATTTTAATAGGTTTTAAAATCAAGATGTGTTCAATTTGGAATTTGAAACAGTTTGAAATCATGGTGTAGTCAAATTAAGATTTGAGAGATTTTAAAGAATACATCAAAATACATGGGTGGTCAATTAAATTTTTTTACAAAGTCCACTCAAGTCTAGATGTAGTGAATCCTAAAGATTTGCTAGGATTTCAATGAACGGTGGATTTTGATGGGTTTAAGAGTGAGTGGTATAAATATCATATGCCATCAAGAATCCTATCCTTCCCCTTCCGATTTCTTTTCACACAGAGGAAAACCCTTTCTCATATCTCATACTTCATCTTCTTCATACTCATCCAATATGGATATTTTTTTTAACAAGTTCAAATTCGTAAACAAATACTATGAATTGTAGGTTTTACTGAGTTTTTCCCTTAAATACCAAAAAAAAAAAAAAAAAAAAAATCTCAAATCCCTAATTCAAAATCCTCTATCAGTGTCTACGCTTGAGTTCTCCAGCATCTCAAGAGCATCCTCAACTCTCCCCTCTCCGCACAACCTTCCAAGCATCACATTGGAAGTCACGGTATCAGCTTGTCGACTTTGCCACCATTGAAAAACCCATTAACCAAAATGTTGTAAGCTAGGACATTGGGCAAAATTTGGTTCTTTGAGATCATACATCCATTGCTTTTGTGAGTCTTCCACTTTCAGAGACCACCCAAGAGAGCTGAGTACCTAATCAAATTAGGGTAAGCAATTTTGGACCTTTTCATTTCCTTATTTCCTTCAGAACCCCAGAAGTATAATCTAAGATCCCCATTCTTGCAATGGTACTCAACCAAGATGTTGACAATGCATCTCAACTCTGAAGAGAAGAGCAACGACGGAAAAGAAAAAAAAAATTAGGGTTTCAATTGCAGAGAGTTGGATATGTTAATCCCAGCTGTTGGATTTCATTAAAAATGCTTTTTAGTGTGATTCTCAATTTTTACAAAATCCTAAGAAATCCAAAAAAGAATTCATACAAATCTGTAATAGAAATCCATATAAAATCTGTTGAAATCCATATGAAATTGTAAAGTTTATTAAAATCCTTTAAAATCTGTCACCTACAAAAAAATTCATTAAAATCCTCTGAAATTCAAATTGACTACACCCCTTAAAATCACTTTTAGTCATTTTAAAAGTACTTCCAAATGAACCATATATATACAGAACCTCATTTTATAGTTTGATTATTAAAGTGTTTCACATTAACATCATCAAATCGAAACTCCAAATTCAAACGATGGAAAGAACAAGATTTGGACTTGTATTGCTTTAGGTCGAAATTTAAACCTTAGGCCATCTCCAACCGAAGGGTCTAGAACGTCGAAAATAGTTCGAAAACCGTCTCTAACTGAGGGTTAGGCCAAAGGGCTTGTGGGCCTCACAGAATTTGAAAGGGCCAAAGGGCTGGCCCAATTCAGCTAACCAGTCAGCCAGCCCCAGGCTGGCCAGAAATTTAAGAATTGCTGTTGGATATAATCGACAATATTGTTATTAATCATGTCGGTTATATCTAACAGGAATTCTTAAACAATTTTTTGAATCCAACCGCTAGCTGACGACAGTTACCGTTGGATTCAATTTTTTTATTTTTTTGGGCCAATTTTTGTTTTTTTTAAATTCTTAAAAATTCTAATTTTTTTCCCTATAAATACCTAAACCATTCGTTCACCATTCCTCACAAATTTTTTACCATTCCTACACCATTTCAATTCTCATATTTTCTTACCTCTTTCAAAAATATTTCCTTCAATTATTTCAATAATTTTCAAAATGGCCTTGTCTGCAATAAAAGGTAGGGCTTGGACCAAAAAAGAAGATGAAGCTCTTTGCATGGCTTATAGATGGGTGTCGGAAGATAGTGTGAGGGGGACTTCTCAAACAAGTAAAGGTGTTTGGACTCGTATGTCTAAAAAATACTTAGAGTTCTACGAATGCATCACTCCACTGAATGTTCGAAATCACGAGAGTTGTTCTTCAAGATGGAAGAAACATCTTCACCCAAGTTTGAACAAATGACATCAAGCACTATTAGCAGCCGCAAGTAGACATGAAAACGGCGCTAACTACTACGGACGAAGTAATTGTTTTCACAATTTACTTTAAATATTTAATTATATTACATTTAATTTCATGAATTACTTTCCTTTAATTTTTGTAAATACATTTAATTATATTGCATTTAATTTCATAAATTAATTTCCTTTAATTTTTGTAATTATATTTTCTAGGTAAGCCAAACAGAGGAATTGTATATGGAGGGCAGTTTGAAACCCTTTCAGTTTCACAGTTGTTGGGAAATTGGTAAGGCGTGGGTGTTATTTGTGAAGATTCACCTCAACATAGAGTAGGTCCTACCTCGATGTTCGGAACTGCATCCTTAGTTGCAGTATATGAATGAAGATGGATCTCTTACCATTCAGCAAACAAGGGTAGAAAATCCGTCTTTGAGTGAAGGTTCCATACCTAGGGCTATGGGACGAAACAAGGTACTAAGGTTGAAGGAAAAGGGGAAGGCAAATGATGATTACGCCGCTCAACTGGAAATGGCGGCTTCATTGCGATTAATGGCGAAGCAAACTACCCTTGAGGTGGAAGAAAGGAACCGTAGGCATGAATAACGGGCCAAACAAATACAAGAAGAGATGGGTGATAAGAATATGGAAATGAATACTTTGAATTACATTCCAATGGGTAAGATCTATTTTGATAGGAAAAAAAAAAGAAGAAATTATGACCCGACGGTAGTTGTTTACCTCTAACTATACTCCTACAATGGTGAATGATGAAGATGATGTTGATTATGGATATTAAATTTAAGTTGTTGTAGTTTTTAAATTTAAATAATAAATTATGTTTGACACTATGACTCTTTGGACCTCGATTGGAGACAGTTTTTTGTGATAGGACTAAAATGAGCCCTATGGCTCTTTAGCCATCGGTTGGAGATAGAAGCAAATATAACCCTTTACTGTTTATTAAAATATTAATTTCTTGAAGAGCCTGATGACTAAAATGAACTCTCTGACCAACCCTCGGTTCCAGATGACCTTAAGATTCAACACAATTTAACATTGGAAAAGTCGTGGAGTTTCGTTTTGGAACACAAAAGGGAAACAACAACAACAACGTAAACACAGCCAATCAGAATCCAGTTCTCATCCAGGTGCTAAAATCCTACTCACACATTGTTTACATAAATTTACCAACCTACCCTTTCTCCTTAGTAGGTCAAACTCCAAACTCCGAGGACTCATCCGTCAATTAAAACTTAAACTCCATTTAGACCACTTTCGCTCTCTTAGGGCAGGAATCCTGTGCTTTTCGGGACAAAAAGCCAACTGTCCTGAAAGCTTTCCCCTCTCAGTAAACCGCCATCGTGTGGGTGCACGATTCTTAACGTACACACTCATCTCTTAGTCTTCCCCAGATCCCATTCACGTACACTGCTTTTCTCTGTTAAACAGATTGCTCTTCTCACCCCCATGATTGATTCGTGCACACAGTTCCGTGAACCCGCCTATAACTCGACCGCATTTGCCATATGAAGGCCCCTGCTTCTTCCATGGCGATGTCGAATTGGGTTTTTGTGTTTTCGATTGTTGTCTGCTTTTTCGCATCTGGGTCGCTCGCAATTGAGAATTTTCACCAGGCGTAAGTGATTTTTGTGATGCAAGTTCTGTTTTTTTTAATCTAAAGTTTGGTGTTTTTTCTGTTTTTGCTGATGGGAGAAATCTGGTGCCAATGGGATTAGCTGGAAACAGCTTTGGCTTTTGGCTTTTTTGGATAGTTGGAGTTGAATTTTGATCATGGTGAACAATATTGCAATGCAGTTATTATGCTTAGTGAATAAATTTTGAAACTTTTGTTTTAGATCTGGGACGGCGTTTGGTGATTCTAAAAACAAGTTTCAGAAACATGAGAAAGTTGGAAAAGTGCTTCCAAAATACTGAAAAGTTGGGAACTTTTAGCTTATTTGTGTCGTTTAGTGATTTGTTAACAGCATGAAGTATGTCAATGTGCTTCATATGAGCACTGTGTTTCTTTTTTGTAAATTTTTTTTATGAGCCAATTGTAGTGCGGTTATGTTAGTTTACTTTCTGATAGTGTAAATTAGAATAATGCAGCAATGCGAGAGTGCCGGCCAATCACGAATGTTGAACATGATTTTAAGGTGCTCTAGATTGTGAAGGTTAAATATTGTTTTGCTATCGAAGTAGGTAGGATGTTCCTAAACACTAATGGGAGACTATAACGAGTGAAATAAAACATCATAAGAAACTATGCTCCCTGCCTCAATTGTGCGGTACTGTGAATCTTCGCATCTTATTTTGGAAACCTTCTCGACCCATGAGTCACTTTGCACCTTATTTTGAGATTAAATGCTGCCTAACCATTGTTGCTGTTTTTCTGCCAGTGTTATGCACATCGTAGGTGGCTAATGTTTGTGCAATATTTACATACAGATTTCCTATTGTGGAACCTGATCCTGGTCATACAAAACTTCGTCTTTCAAGGGAAGGGTTGGAGGCCATTGAAAGAATAACAAATCCAATTGCAGCTGTTGCCGTAAGACTTAAACCTGTTCTCCGTAGCATCTATAATTCTTGTGAACTTTACATTTTTACTTTTGGAAATCTTACCAAACTCTGGATGTTTAGTTTTAGCTAGAGTTTAATGACCTCACCTTTGTAGAGGTGTAGTAGTATCATGTAGGCTAAAGGGCAGTGGTTTTCAGTCTCCATGGATACAAATATGACTAAAAGATTTACGATTAAATTTATTGTCTTACATTTCCCTGGGTAAAGCAAACTTTCTATTCTCTGTGTACTTCTTGATTCTATTCAAATGATTTTTGTTCTTAGGTTATTGGACCATACCGCTCTGGAAAATCTTTTTTGCTCAACCAACTGCTCTCCCTTTCTTGTTATGAAGGTGTGGTCTTTACTTCTATTAGTTATACTTCTTTCACCTTCTTCCTGTGGATCTTGTTTGATTAATCTTTATGCATTGGTTGTTGGTTTGAACAATATAACAACCTTTAAGTTTTATTTTTAAACGGTTTTCCCACAGGGTTTGGTGTTGGACACATGCGTGACACAAAAACAAAAGGTAAATCTATATGCAACCTTGATATCATGGATGTGCATTATTGTTTTTTGAGAGATATATTTACGGTGGCATTTTGCCTCTTACAGGGATTTGGGTATGGGGAACCCCAATAGAATTGGATATTGATGGAGTGAAAACTTCGGTTTTTTACCTTGATACTGAGGGATTTGAAAGTGTTGGGAAGTCAAACGTATATGATGACCGGTAATCTCCAAGTCATCATGTAATCTTCAATTTTCCTTTGATGGTCATTCAAGTTGTGTCTTCTGCTGGGTTTCTGAGTATTCTTTTGCAGGATTTTCGCTCTGGCAACTGTTATGAGTTCTGTTCTTGTTTATAATCTGCCTGAGACGGTGAGTTGCACAACGCGTGACGTATTAGAAACATGTACTAGGTCCTTGGTCCATTATTGTTCAATCCCAGTTTGCCTTATTTGATTTATCTCTACGGTTGTCATTTTCTGTAGATCCGTGAAGCTGACATTGCCAGGTTGTCATTTGCTGTTGAGCTTGCTGAAGAATTTTATGGAAGGTCCGCAGTTTGTTCAATCCTTGTTGTTATTATACTTAATTTGTTTTGCTATTATCAAAACTGACATGTTTGCGTCTTGGTTGCAAATTTCATGTGGCAAATAGAGTGAAGGTAAGTTCCAATCCCTTAAATCATTCTCCCTGGCATGTATTATCTCGCAATAATTTACACATGTGAATAGTTGGATTGTTTTGTAGGGACAAGATGTTGCTTTTGAACCTGCAAAGTTATTGTGGCTCATCCAGCGTGATTTTTTACGTAAGTTTGAGAAATGCCTATAGCATGTTTGTTCAAGTTAAATATGAGCAACATAGAAGTTACAATGACAGTTTACCGAGATTAGTCTTCTCACCTATCAACCCTTTTTTCCAAGCTTCCAGCAGAGTGCTCATGAATTGACATTGTGGTGTTTATTCTGCAGAAGGGAAATCTGTGCAACAAATGGTTAATGAAGCTCTTCTTCGCGTCCCTAACAATGATGGTTAGTGTTTTGTTTCCTCCCAGTATGCATCCTTGCAAAAGATCTGTCTTTACTTCTTACATGAATGCAGTGCAACTTATTTATTTGTTTGTCGATCATGGATTTAATAGTGGGTGCTTTGTGACATTGCAGGCAACAAAAACATTGATATGGTATTTTCACCTTATATTCTCACTTGCCGGGATTTCTGCTGAGATATTGCTGTTCACGGATTGAAAGCGAACCCTTTTTGTGTGTCTTTATCAGGTTAACCAGATCCGGGATTCTTTGGCTATTATGGGTGATAATAGCACAGCCTTCAGTTTACCACAAGTATGGGTTTTCCTATTTTCAGCAGTTTTTGCACTCATTTTCTTGGCTTTATGTTTTAGTTGGGAGGCTGTTCAATGAAGCCTCTCAGCATTACACATTTACTGCAAATCCCTAGACTTTTTTTTGTTAAAAATGGACAAAAATGTTGTGTTGAGTTCCCTTGACGTGGGCATGTTTTGGACAAGCTTTATTTTTGACCCATGTGCAATAGTTTATGATTTCTTAGTTGCTATGTATGCTATATGGTTATTTCAACATTGAGAAAGACACTTGAGTTCACTGTTGATAAAAATAAGCGTCGTTCTAACCTATACAATATAATCCATAATATTGTAATATTGTGCGTGTATTATAATAAATTTAAACTTCCCTTTGCTATAGATATATTTTCGATTTGTTTGTCAAGTGTTTTGATTCTGTGGTGATTCCGAACTTTCGAACAGCCTCACCTTGAGCGAACGAAACTCTGTGACATGAAGGATGGTGAGCTTGACCCGATGTATGTTAAGAAAAAGGAACAACTAAAACAGCTTGTTTCTAGTATCATCCGTCCAAAGATTGTGCAGGGAAAAACTCTAAATGGAAAGGAGTTTGTATCTTTTCTGGAGCAGGTACCTGTTATATTATAATGTTGGTTGGTTAAAATCAGCTAAGATAGGAGAATCGTTAAGTTTCATTACAGTTTATGTTGTGTGGCATCCCATCTATAAGGTATTTAAGAGAACTTAAAGAAAGGATCCTAGCTACAATCGTTCTTTTAGTTTATTTTGTGTTTTTTTTTTAATTTTTATTTTTTTTTCAGATTCTTGAAGCGTTGAACAAGGGGGAGATCCCATCAACAGGTTCTCTGGTGGAGGTTTTCAATAAGGGTATTCTTGAGCGATGCTTAAAGCTGTACCATGAAAGGATGGAAAAACTCAGTTTACCTCTTGTAGAGCAATCTGTGCAAGAATACCATGAACAGTCCATGGAGGAAGTGATGAAACTTTTTGAGGATCAACATTTTGGCCGTCACCATGCAAAGAAGTCAGTCGAGCAACTTCAAGAAGAAGTAGACAAGGTATATTAACTTTGTAATAGTAGCTCTAAACCCGTCTCCGAGTCATGTATTTAGTCTCCGCCTTAACATGCCAAGTCGTTTTACCTATTTTGTTGGCACCCTCACTGGCACCAGCTATGCTTCCTGCAAATATATTAACATGACTTTGCTGCTTAAACTCTGGGAATTTGTTTAGGTGTTTAAGAATGTGGTCATGGCAAACGAATATCAATCTTCAAAGCTCTGTGAGGCATTGTATACCAGATGTGAGGATAAAATGGACCAGCTTCAAGTTCTCAGACTTCCTTCCATGGCAAAATTCAACGCAGGTTTCCTGCAGTGCAACCAAAGTTTTGAGCAAGAGTGTGTTGGACCTGCAAAAGCAAACTATGAGGTTCGCATGATGAAGGTCAGGCATACGTTGTGTTCTCCATTTTCCTTTTCCTCGTCTTCATTTTCTCTCCGCTGGGTGCAAAAACTCATTTGTACGATGTATATGATTTGATTTGCAGATGTTGGGGAAGTCACGATCTCTATTTATAAAAGAATACAATCATCGACTCTTCAATTGGTTGGTCGCCTTCTCCCTTGTCATGGTGGTCGTTGGCCGGTTTATCATAAAGTTTATATTGATTGAAATCGGGGCCTGGATCATGTTCATCTTCTTAGAGACATACACGAGGATGTTTTGGTCTGCAGAGTCTCTCTACTACAACCCCGTGTGGCATGTAATAGTAGCCACTTGGGAAACACTCGTTTACAGTCCCGTCCTTGATCTGGACAGGTAACAAAACTCTTCTACTCCTTAGTCCTCAGGAAGTTGCTTGAGTTGCAAGTGAAGTTGTGTTTTAATTTGTTCTTTGTTTGAGGCAGATGGGCTATTCCAGCCGGTGTCTTGGTAGCTCTGTTCATACTATATTGGCGGTGTTACGGAAGAAGGAAACACGGGTCCGGATGGATCTTACCCTTGTACAATAATCACAAGGGCGGCTCAAATCGCCCGAGATCAGATTGAAGAAACAGAGAGGATGCTTGATATATACTTTGTCTCGGGCGATTTTGTCTATTTTTGTACACAAAGCCCGGCCGGCAGGCCTAGCAGCCAGCTCTTTTGGTACTGAAATGTCAGATTCATTTCACTCTCCAATTGTGAAGAAGTGAAGAATCAAAAGGACAGCTCGTATAGGTCTAATTACTGTAACAATTCCAAATTGTTTGTAGTGCAATTATTTTTTAATTAATTATTCGAAGTAGCCATTTAAACTGGATTTGTATAACACTAGTGTTTCAAAAAGAGAGGATATCAAAAAACAGAATGAAATGTTCACTTCAGATAAGGGTTTTCTTTTTCCCGCTCTTTATTGAGCAAACTGAGTACATTGACGTTTTAGGATTCATATCGCTGATCTTACTTAGTATAATAAGGCTTTGTTGCTTTATTGAACAAATTGATGTTGTATTGAAGACCTTGTTGAACATATGAGATTTCCAAATATCAATACTTAAAATAATTAACATTATCTTGTTATCAAAATATGAAGATTCAGTCAGTTTCGGATAAAAATAAATAAATAAATAAAATAAAATCTGACCATTATTTTTAACTCGGTTTTGTACTTAAAACAATTATTTTATTTTTATTACAAGCAATATAATTACTCTAGGCTAGAATAATGGGAGGACGATGATTTGAATATAAAACGCAATGGATTGAAGAATAAGGCCATATCCGACGGGTCAATATCTACGAACTTAGCTCTGTGTTTGCGTAATAGATTTCCAAGAAACTGCCTCGTACATGCCATAACAGACTAATTCACGCATTCTTCCTTTAAATTTATGACGTCAACATGAAAATGGCAACCCCAAATATACGCAACACGTAGAGATATAAAGAGTGCGCGACATGGCCTTTTGCGATACCTAATAAAACTGTGAAGAAATGAAAGAATTTGAAATATGTCTCATAGCCGTTGGCTCTGTGATTGCAGTCGTAATTGGTATTTCTTGGGTGCTTTCTTGCTGTAGTACAGGTAACAAGAAAGATGGTGAAAGAGGCGAAGGTGGTGGACAGAAACCTAACCGCGGCGATGTTGAAAGAGGCGAAGGTGGTGGACAGAAAGATGGTGGGATGGTCATTCTGGCAGGAGCTGGTGCCGCTTTGGCTACTGCAGCTGTTGCAACTTCCGTAGCTAGTAACGTGATCGGCGGAGATAGTGGCGGTTGTGGCGGGGGCTGTGGCGGCGGTTGTGGCGGTGGGGGCTGTGGCGGTGGAGGCTGTGGCGGAGGAGGGTGAGGGTGCTTGTGATTGGATCATGTTATACTATCTCTTTTTAGGGGTTGCTTGTTGTACTATTTCTTCCCAATTATAAATAAACTTAAAATGAGAAAACATTTAAAAGAAATTAGCGACACATAAGAAAAATATGTAAATACAAAAGTTTCCAAAAATGATTGTACCGAAATATAAGATTTGTTTGCAATCGAAACGTCTGTATCGAATTATATTATGATGAATTAATGTACCTAAATATTTGTACTGAATTGTCTGTACCAAACTATATTATAATGAATTTGTGTACCTAAATTTAAATGCCACAATCATAGGAGGTGTTATCTATACCAGTTTAGAATTTATTATTTTTTTTAATACATGTGATAGTTTACACTATATTAATCTAAAATAAACGAAGAAAATTCAAATTAACGAAAAGTCCGTGGTACTGTTCACTTTAACTAAAAATCACATTTTTACACTAAAAAGTCAATCATGGTACTATTCATTTTATCCTTTATTTTATCTTTATCGTTAAAACTCAAAGTTTTTAAACCATTTTCATTAGTTTTCCTGAAAATGAATTCACGGGTCAAGCAGGAGATTTCTAGAGTCTGCACAATTTTTAGCAAAGGAATACCCTCTAACGGAAAAATTGAATCAAAGCTCCCATTCGAAGAAATAAAAGTGGCCTTCTCTACCAAAGCCATCTTGTCAAATCACCGCTCATATAATAATAAAAGAAAGGATGTGCTATTCATACATCCTATTTTACTTCTCACACATTTTTTTAATTTTTGACCATCGGATCAAATGAATTTTAGAAACACACTACCCTGCCCAATATCAATTTAGACTTTTAGCGCAATATCTGAAGATTCAGTTAACTAAATCAATTTATATTACTAATTGCTTGCATGATAAATTCCAAGAAATTGCTATATGCATAAGTATGGCTTGCATGATAAATTCCAAGAAATTGCTATATGCACCAAAAGTCAACTTATGATGGGAAGAAAAATGTTGAATGACAAACTTGACGCATTCCCTCCCACAAATTAGTAAACCCTAAAGAAATTAACGGCAACTGTGAACTTCCGCATAAACGCCCTTAAAAAATGTCTAACATAATGCATGCACGATCCAACCCCTAACATCCGCAATACGAACCGTGTATATATAAAGAATGCGCAGCATGCCCCTTTTCCTGTGGAGGATAATTGTGAAGAAATGACTCATTTGCGCAAACTCTCGTAGCCGAAGGCTTATTCGGGGTTGCTGCATTTATTTGGTGTCTTTGCTTTCTACACGTCTAATAACAAGAATCGTAAAGCAAAACGAGCCACCGCGGCGTCTCATTCTGATCAACGAGCTTTCGGCCACCAGAACCGGCTCTGAGGGGATGCAAGTGGTGCTACCGCACAGGGTCCCCAAATCAGAAGGACCCCAAATTTTCAAATTTGCATGCATACATGTATATATAGTAGTATGTGCAAAATAATACAAACTTGAGTCTTAGCGAAAGTGGTATTACTGCTTTTTTACATTGGCCTAGGGGATGGGTTTGAACCTCATCTCCATTATTTTTTCAAATTATTTTTATTAAATGCATAAGTTTCCACAAAATAATATAAAAATTCCATATAATCACACAAAAATTCGAACCTTTACCCTCTAAATTCACTTTCGCACAGGACCCTGCCGGCCACGATGTTAAGTGGAGGAACTGTTTTGGGAGGAGATGGTTTTACTTTTGCAACTGCAGCTGCTGTAGCTACAACAACTAGTGACGTTGGTGGCATCAGCGGTGGTTGTGGTGGTGGTTAGCTGCAGTTGTGGACGATGAAACTCCACACCAGTACATAACTGGTGTAGCATTTCTTAGTACACAAAGCTAAAACAGGAAGTGACAGACGACGGATTAAACCACAAAAAGCACCCCATGCATATTTAAAAGCCCCCTCTGTGCATCAATCTAATTAGACGAGCAATGCACCTACTGAACACAACAAACAGTTTTGCGCGGTGAGGCCATTAGATCTAAATCTTTGGTGCATAAGAAAATCTCTCACGCTTGGGCTCATTTTTAGTATCCCTCCTCATTAGGCGTGCAATTTGGATAGGAACATATATGCGATTCCAACCGACTCCGAGCTGAAAATTTCCAAAATACTCCGTCTGATTTAAATTACAAATCCAAAAAAATCTGAAAAAATTGGATAGGAATTGGAATGTATTTAATATTCCGAGTTCGATCTGAAATTACACAGTTAATTATGTACTTACTGACTTTGGATTTGTAATACAAGGTACTCTAATATGTAACTTATTTTTCAATTACAACTCCCTTGAATATATTACATACAAAACAAATGAGAATTTGATAACTATTCCAGCACAAGTGTTTTTACCAATTAACTCTTCCAGCACGACTGCAAGTATTAATCTGTTTGCGTGGGAACCCAACAGTTGGTTCACTTCTTTCAGAGGTATATTGGCGAAAAACCATACCAGAGTATCCCTCACCAAACCAAGTTTCGGCAAATAAGCAACAGCTTCTACTTAAATCTCCGACGAACAATGGTTTCCGTTCCGAACAAGGCCTCGTAGTCTAATTACTTAAGTACATAACATCTGAAGGATCCCAAAACCTTGATGATTGAGAAGACGAATACATAGAAAATTTCAAAGAATTATCATCTATAAAAATGTAGCTGTCCCATTTCCATTGATATGATCGAGAGTAATCCTTTAATTGATTGTGAGTCCAAATGGGATTGATCTCCCGCAAGAAACAAATGAACCTTGTCCTTCACTGTAATCCAGCTGCAGCCTGGACTCTTCCTTATCCCCTTTGATTTTTTGGTCATCATCACTTGGTTTCCATCCTTCATTTTCCCTAAAGTAGAATATAAATTAGACAAGACCACATAAGGGGTCGCGTCATCAGGCTCCAATCTGATTAGCTTCCGAGTTGCAAGCTGTGCAAGATCAAGACATAAATGAGTCCTGCTAGCACTAAGAAGAGCTCCCCAAACCCCGGTATGGGGCTCAAATGGCATTGAATGAATCAAATCGACAGCTTCATGTAGCAAACCAGTTCGACCAAGGAGATCAACCATGCAAGCGTAGTGATCCGGTCCTGGTTCTATATTGTGTACCAATTTCATCGAATTAAAATACTGCCATCCTTCTTCTACTAGTCCCACGTGGACGCAGGCTGAAAGAACACCCAGAAAGGTGATTTGGTTTGGCTCGCAATCTTCATTCTGCATGCTCTGAAATAAGTTAAGAGCTTCTTTCCCAAACCCATTTTGCGCAAACCCTGTAATCAATGAGTTGAATGAAACAGTATTGGGCGAAGTGATACTTCTGAAGATCCTATCGGCATCAACAGTGTTCCCACACTTTGAATACATAGAGACCAGAGAATTTTGAACGGATAATTCAAACTCCATATCCATCTTAAATGAAAGAGCATGGATCTGCATCCCCTCGTTTATACTGGCCAAACTGGCAGAAGCACTGAGTGCACTGCTCAAAGTGAGGGGATTGATCCTGATTTCCTCTCGACGCATCTGAATAAACCAAATGAGAGCCTCTTCATATTGCCCATTATTTACAAAACCCGAAATTATGGCAGTCCAAGCAACATCATCCTTCTCAGGCATCATTTTGAACAACTCCATGGCTTTCTCAGTCATCCCTTTGCAAGAGAATCCCGATAACATGGTCGTCCATGAGAATATATCCTTTGCAGGCATCACCTCAAACAATCTAAAAGCTTCTTCAGTTTCAGCACATTGAACATAACCCGCAATTAAGGAATTCCAGGAAACTACATCTTTCTTGTTCATCATATTAAATACCTTAGAAGCTTCATCTATACATCCAAATCTACAATACATAATGATAACAGAATTTCCTAAAAAGACATCATAGTCAAACCCCTTACGAGAAACTAACCCGTGCATCTGAATCCCTTCTCGATATCTATCAAAGCTGCCACAAGCTTCGAACATTACAGCCATTGTAGTGCTATTGACCTTCACTAGCCCTTCCCTACTCATATCCAAGAACAATTCAAACCCGGCTTCGAAAATTCCCATCTTCATATACCCATCAATCAGTGCTGTCCAAGTAATCACATTCCTCTCCAGCATCTGATCAAACAAATTTCTAGCATCAACAATTCTTCCCATTTTGCAATACCCATCAACCATACAGCTCTGAGAAACCACATTGCTATTTACCATACCCTCAAAAACTCGAACTGCGTCTTCAGTTCTTCCAACCTTCAAATACCCATTTATCAAAACATTTGAACAAACCGGTTCCCGCCACCTAACTGGCATTTCACAGTAAAGCTTCTCAGCCTTGTCAAACATCCCCGCCTTTACAAAACCCGTGATCATGGCACTATAAGACACCTCATTGCGCTCCGGCATCCCAGAAAACAACTCAAAAGCTTTACCTACCATACACTTATTTCTAATATAAGCCGTGATCATCGCATTATACGATGCTATGTTTCGTTGGGGAATTTCATCGAACAGTTTACGTGCTTTGGAAGTTTGGCCATTTTCGGCATATTCTGTGAGCATGGCAGTCCAGGAAATAGTGTTTTTCTCGGGCATGCGGTTGAATACTGATTCGGCTTGTTTGATATCACCATTTCTTCCGTTTTGGGTGATCTGGGAATTGCAGTAAACAAGAAAGCTGCTGGCTTTTCTGCTTTTGGACACGCTTTGGGGTTTTGAACAAGCTTGAGTGGACAGATATGAGCAGTGGATCTTACAACGCGAAAAGCTACAATTGGAAAAGTGCTTATGGAAAATGCTGGTTTTGAGTATTGTTGGCATGCTTTGAGTTGACACACCAGATGATCTCAATTAGCAAACTTGTATTTTAAATCTAATGGGCAAAAATCCATGTTAATCAACTTGAACTAGTTGCCTGGCCTCAATAGCCCAACTCTTGTTTTGATGGGCATATTGGCATTGCCCTAGACCCAACGATCGGAATAGGCTTAAAAATCCTGGCCCGATTGAGATGAAAGTTGGGTTAGGATTGTGAATTTGTTCGGCCGGCTCTGGTATCATTTCAAATTATTAAAAAAATGGGTCAAAGATCAACTTTCAACAACATCAATATTGTCTCTAACTTGGTAGTTACCACCTGCACAGTTCAATTGGTGTGAGGTTTATCACAAAAGCCTTGCTATTAGTTGCAGTGGGGTTGAGATATTTAAACTCTTTTTTCTCAGGGATATGGTTGATGTGAGATATCTCAACATGCCCTATCACGTGAGAGACAATTAGTG